TATTGGTTTTTGTAGGGATTTTGTTTGCTTGTATAGAGGATTTCATCATGAGATGAAATCAGTTAGTTCTAGCGGAAAGCCGTGACCAGTAGGGTTCAGCAGGTCGAAGATGAGGCAGTAATTCATCGAAGAAGACATTGCGAAAAGGTCACGCTATGTCGTGAATTGGCAGAAGTTAGAATTCATGGACCATTGGATCGGATCCCAGTGGCTTAATGGTCTACGAGCTAGCCTTGTAACCAGAAGGTCCTGGATTCGAACCCCGATGGATACGCACTGTGAAGAGTGCCAAACTAGGACAAAACAGCTGTCCAGTACTCCCAGGTTTTCCAGTGGTTCTCTAACTAATGTCAGCTCATGATGAAATCCTTCATACAATATATGCATACATAACCAATCATGAGAAACCGTAGTTGCGAATGTTTAACATGTGAAATTCAGTGAAATAAGGGAGAGATACAACTAGTTATCAAGGTAGGATAGAGAATGTTGGGAATCGCGAATTGAATAATAGTGATAAAATGAAATAATTTAATGTTATTGACAAAAGTTTTATTTGAGACAAAACTAATAATAATAAGAGTTGGGATATTGATGGTTGGAGGCAATCGACAGGAAGTCCAGCCCTGGGACCTAGGTTCTGTGTTAGTCGGCGTTCGTCAGCTAGACGTATTTGCAATCTTAGAGGATCCTTGGGATGAAATACTATTGTAGTGAGAACTGGCTGCACGCTGAAAATTTCTTGACACCAATTTACGTTAATGTTACGTCCCAAATCAGGGTCATGAGAAAAAACAATAAAAAAGCCTAACCCTGAGGAACTCACCAATCGATCACAGCAGACTTAACGTGTGCAATTACGATTCGCAGATATACGCCTTAACTTTCTGAGAAACGGTCGCAAGCAGTGCAGAATAACCTTCAGCAAGAAAATAACTTTTCAGAAGACGCGTTTCTCTGCTAACAATAACGAATAGTTAAGTACATAAAAATCTATAAATATATGTTGATTCTTCTCAATATAAGATCTGTTGCCTGACCCTTGTATTCTGCCTCCGCACTACTACTAACAGTTACGGTTAAGAAGGGCATTACCATGGCAGATTCCACGAGATCACCATTTCCTTCTGTATGCTAAATCTGGGTTTATGACATCTAATTAAACAGGTCCCTCAAATGCTTTTTGCTGTTTGTTTATCTGCTGACGTAAGTTTAAGACGACCGACTCAATACAATGTCTGTAGCCTATAAGGTGCTTTGTTATTGAAATTTATTGTACCTCGGCTTCAAGTTTTTTCAACCACTTGGGTAAAAGCTCAGTCGTGCAAGAAGTGGACAGTTGCCTATGCATTTACTGCCATAGACACGCTATTAGAAGTACTTGTTATGCCGCGAAACTTGTACCCCTCATTACAACCACCATACGGATGCTTCAACAACCTAGTAAAAGCTGTCCATCGACCATCAAAACTTTTAAGTGCATATAACGAATTTGAGTGTGTGTGTGTGTGCCTGTACGTGTGTGTGAGTATTAAACAAAGTAGTATACTAAAATTTGGTGAATTCACTAAATCATGTTTCATGATCATTTTACATTCTTATTGGTTATTAAATATTTTTAAATCTATCGTTTCTCGTTTTCTGTGGTATTGTTTATCCTCGCTGACTGTCATTTTCTCTTGGTCAGTGATTCATTGAGCTCAGCTATTGACCTGTTTGTCATCGATTGAAAGTCAATGTTCTATCCTTCACCAACGCATTTCTACATCTACCTTAGCCAACAGTAAGTGTAAAAAAGGAGGAAAGCTGGATACGAGACTGGCTATGTCACCTAGTAGAAAAATGCTACTTTTAATAAAAAAAAGCGAGAACAACAGTGGTTTGTGTAGAACAAAATGTCACAATGATTTATTTCGTCGACTTTTTTTCATTAACTGCATACAGCCTGTTGAAACCATTTTTATTAAGTTTATTTGGGGACAGAATTTTAACATAATTACAAATGTTACATTAGTATTTCCTTTAATTCCTAGAGGAATATAAGGCTTCAGTCACGCGTCTTCATCGCGTTCGGTTCTCTACTGGAGTTTTCACCTGACTCCAAGTCTGCCCACATGACCACATGACCTCCTCCAGGTCACCCTTACACTGACGACCAACTTGCCACTTCCCTTTCGGGTTTCACTCGAGCGATGGCTTGTCTCGTGATGTCACTTGATGGTTTCCTCAGAGTATGGCCAATCTATCTCCATTTCTTCCTGCCTATTTGTTGCACAGTCGGTTCCTGCTAAATTGGTTCACTCCCAGAGATCCCTATTGCTGATCTTTTCTGGCCGGCCATCTGATCGTGAGTATTGAGCGAAGACTACTGATAATGAAGGTCTGAAGTTTGTTTGAGATGTTCTTTATGACGCGTTGGTCAAGTCTCTGATCTGTGTAGTAGCACTGACTGACTTCACATTGGAGTTGAAAATCGGAATCTTATTTTTGATGCTGAGTGGGGCTGTTGACCTCCACAAAGACTTGAGAGTAATGAAAGCTTGTCTCGCTTCCCGATCCTCGCTGGTTTTTTGTCCTCGTCAGTTCCGCCTGTAGTTAAAATGATGCTTCCCAGGTAAGTAAAGGAGGTTGTTGTTACACAGTCTCACTTTATGAAAGGAGACTCCCAACTTAATGAACAGTGCTGAGGAAATTACACTTATATATAGCTTTCACCCAGAAAGTTGAAGTTTAAAAATGCAAATATACTTGTACTCAATGAAGACAACAAATGACTAGCATCATGGGTTTCTAATTAAATTGGGTAACAATATAGTGAATTCAACTCAAATCATAGAAACAAGACACAGGCAAAGTAACACTATATCAAGGTGGTTAGGGATTAAAGCCGGAGATTACGTGGTCCAATTAGAGAGAGGAAATCAAGACATTCAATTACCAGGATGGGCAATGAAACACTGATTATAACTGCTTCTTTCTGAACACATAACATAGATTTCAGAAATTCTGACAACGATTGCTTCGATAAACTTGAGAAGAATTGAACGTTTTTATGTAATGATAATTCCAATATATTAAATATTTCCATAGTAAAATTTAGAGCAACACATTTAAGCGAACAATAGTGTTTTCAATTAGATCTCATCAGGCTTTACTCTAATATATATAAGTTTACAAATAAAATTCAAATATAAACCAACCATGGTGTTTTGTCTATAGGATAATACGATGGTGAATATAAATTTTGCAATTAGTCATAATAGTGGTAATGATAATAATGGTCTCATCAGTAATAAGGATGAAAAAGCGAGGCGATCTGTGATAACACGAATAATGAAAAACAGTATGATTAGACAAACAATTGTTCAGGTGGAAATAGTCGATCAAGGCTAGTAAAAGCAAATGAACCGATTAAGTAATGTTAGATTGTAAGGGAAGGAATGAAAGACGTTTATAATGAAGATGTGATAAGATTAAGGGATGATAGCAAAGGGGTGGTGTAGAAGTCATTAGTTGGTTATGTCTTAATAGGTCAACAAGGCAGGGAAAATGGCTTTACGAACTTCTTTTGAATGCATAGTTTAGATTTAATAGTTCGTACACCTACGTGACCACTATCAACAGAATATGACAAAATTGAGCTACGGATTGTTTTTGTCTGTCCTTTGATAAACCACGATGGGAAATGTTCACTAACACGTTGGTTGGTTAAGCTGTTTAGTAGTACGTCTGACATAACCGTCACCGCAGGTACAGTTGAATCGATAAATTCAAATGGATGTGGATCTATCTTATCCTTCGTTTGCGTCCCAATCATTCGGTGGTTAGAGAACGACATATGATAATTTGAAAGCATTTCATGATTTCCACCTCATCCCTCTTACTGATAAGATGTCTGGCGGTAGCACTATTGTTGTAGACTTTTTCCCTGAGGCATAGGCTTTCTGGTAGATGATCAGAAGATTGGAGGTATGCTCTTCTTTTTTGTTTTCTCAATCAAACCTCACCGCTACCAAAATTTCAAAATTCAAGCTTGAAGCCCTGTGCTCCATTAGGAACTCAAAGTTCAACTTGATTCGTAAATATGTAAATATGAGATCTATAAGAAATAAATACCCCGAAAATATCAGTCTTCAGTAAATATTGATTTAGGGTGGTAGATTGAACTTCCACTGTGAATATTAGCATTGATATCAGACAAAAGGATCTACTAATTCAACTACGTTTGTGGAGCGAGTTATATTGGCCGTTGCTTTAAGAACTTGATTTTTCGTGCCCTCTCGAGAACATCTATCTCCCACTATGGCTAAGTACAGGTGTAGTTAAAACCATTAACAGTTCGATATTGACCATCTGGTGCAAACCGGCCACAAAGCCTCTATAATCTACCGAGTGCCTAATAAATTACCACAATCATCGAAGCACCGCATGCTCCAAACAGCAAGGCTGTTGCAATTCGCCTCAAACAACCAGTGCTCTGTGTTCAAAAGAAGAAAGCTCAGTCAGCCCCTACTACTACCCTGGCAGCCTTCAGTAGAGACTATAAATTCATGAATTTGTAATATTATCTTTCCTAATTTTTCTGACATTCAGTTTATTTTACGTTGATGCTATTGAGCTGTACCCTATCAGTATTAATGACTCGAGGTTATTTAAACAGCAACATTAATGTTGTTCATAACATTAATTCATTCATTCACTATTATGTATATATAACTGTAGAGCCTGATGATGAAGTTATCGAAAAGAGTACTCTTTATTCAATAACCATTCTTTTGAAAAGAACTGATGGCAAAGATTTCATCCTTCATATTTCTTATGCCTTTATGGATATCCCTTTGCAATAAAGAATGAATAAAGGAAACTCATCATAAAACACCGACATTTACAGACAAATTAAAATAAATTTTATTTAAAAAAAAGAGAAAATGTTGAAATAGTCGTAAAAATCCTTTTGCAGTTAATAAAAATACACTTATTTATGTTTGTTTTATCTACAGATACACAGATTGAACTGTCTACAACTGAACACTCACTGTCCAGTAAGTACCTCACATTGTGTTAACAGCAAAACGTTAATTTAAGTCAAATACATGATGTATACGGTGTTCTGACACAGTACAGGTGATTCATACAACAAGCATAAAGTTGTTCAGTTCAAGTTAAGAAAGAGAAATATGCCTGTCTAGGGCATATACTAACACTTGGGAGGTAGCTGGGGGGTGGGCGGAGGGCAGGTAAGGAGGGATAGTAGACAGTTGTGAATAATTTACAACAATTAAGTACTTTGTACACTGGGGTAGTAGATACAAGTGTAGGGTAATAAAAACAACTTTTGTTTTATACCAGTAGACACTTAAATCATTTGTTGCTATTTGTTTTGTTTTAAAGTGATGTTTTTATGTCAGTTTTTAGTATGTATTAAACATTTGGTGTTATTCGATGGTTGGAGGTAATCGGTAGGATACTCTTGACCTATGTTTCATGTATGCAAAATGGACAGATAGAATTCAGTCTATGTTGAACAAAAGAACAAACGCATGAAACTGGTTACTACTTATAAGTATGAAACTTGGGCACTGTGGTAGTATGAGCATACCTCCATTATGGATAAGATTTTATTTTGATAAATTGTCACAAAGTGTTATACAGTTATATTAAGTGATGCGACCGCGTTTCGAGCACAAACTATTGTCAGTCACAATCATATCAAGTTACTCACACAACTTTTTTCTTTCATTTATATACATGAGTGGAAGCGATTAGATTATTATTATTATTATTATATCCTTTAATTCCTAGAGGAACATAGGGCTTCAGTTGCGCATCTCCATCGCCTTCTGTTTTCTGCCAACTTTTTTACTCCGCTCCAAGTCTGCCCACATGCTTTCATCTCCTCTTCACATCACCTCCTCCAAGTCACTCTTGCACTGACGACAACTCACCGCTTCTCATTCTGTCGGGTTTAACTCGAGCGATGGCTTGTCTAGTGATGTCACTTGATGGTTTCCTCAGCGTACGGCTAATCCATCTCCATTTCTTGCTGCCTATTCGTTTCACAATCGGCTCCTGGTTGGTTCGCTCCCAGAGATCCCTGTTGCTGATCGATCAGATATTGGAATAAAAGTCCATATAAGATAATATACATTCAGAAATAATAAGATGAGCGTTATTGATCAGTTACAGTTAGATGGGAAATAAGATGAGTATTTTTGTAGTCACAACGAGTTACTTGTTAGATTGTTATGATGTGCTCGAATTAAAATAGAATTTTGAGATTATTTATTATCCTTTTCTGATTTGACTGGTGGTAATAATATCTTCCATATTTCTGGTATTTGCATTGAGCCATTTCTGTTGCATGTGTTATGTTGGGTGTAGACTCAATGAACAAGGATTCCAAAATCAATTTCTCTCTACCTACCTATATTACTTTTTAGAATTTTAACCCTCTCCCACCCTATTGTGTGGTTGTTTGTTATTGCGTGAAGTGCAGTAGCTGAGCTTTTTTCTAGATTACTTAACTTTTCAGGGTCAACCATTCTTCCCTTAGCTAAATTCCTATGCTCTGATAATCTGACTACCCCCGACCTACTAGTTTAACGTATGTAGTTGATCCAACTCAGTCATTGCAAGGTGTTTTGTAAATTATATTATTTTGTCTAATTGGGTCAACTGGGTCCTTTAACATAGAGAGCTTGTCCTACCTGAGTGAGTTTGTAGGTTTGAATGCCACCCTAATTCCTGCTTTATTAATAATCCTACATAGGGTCTAAGATGTCCCCTCCTTATATGGGATAACAGTGGATGACTTATATTCTCTCTTATTTATGTTGTCACTACTAGTTCCACAATTATTTTTATTTTGTTTTTGGCCTTTACTGATCTTCCTAATGAATTTTATAGGATAATTATTCAACTACTGCAAATATTCAACAAATGCCATCCAGCCACAAAGTTCACTTTGGTAACTGAAATTGAATCTAAAATCCCTTTTCTTAATGTTGAGCTTACAAGGAGAGATGACGGAACTTTAAGAAGGTCAGTCCATAGGAAACCGACTTGGAACGAACAGTTAACAAGTTTCTACAGCTGGGTACCAATCAGTCGGAAAAGAAACCTAATTAAATCCCTTGCTACTCGCGTCAGACGCATCTGCAGCTCCGACACCATGGAAGAAGAACTAAACTTCCTGAGGGAAATCTTCATACAAAATGGCTACCCACCAAGATTCGTAGAGAAAAACATCAAACAGAAAAATCAAAAGCAAGAGACACCATCCATGCCAAAAAAGATACTTTATATGAACCTAGACTTCAAAGGAGACCTACTTAGTGACGTCCTCAGAAGGAGAATCTCCACCTCTTTAGGAAGAACTTTCCCTGCGGCAACACTAAGTATAGTGTTCTCCAGTCGCCCGCTGATCTGCAGAAACCCAAAGGACAAGATTCCGCACATGACCACTTCTGTGTGTATATATCAGTTCACCTGTTGCTGTGGAGCCAGGTACATCGGTCGTTCAACGCGCATCCTGTCTAAAAGGGTCAAAGAACACTATCCAGCGTGCCTACAGAAAGGAAATAATGGCCATATAAGGAGTGCAATAATCGAACATCTCGTCAATACTGGTCATTTCATCTCAACGAACGCCTCCTTCAAAGTAATCTACAAAGTGAAGAACAACCTTCCAAAGACAGTACGATTCCGTCTTCTTTGCATCGCAGAATCCCTAGCCATCCAGTTGGAGGAACCAGAACTATGCATACAAAAGAAAATTATCCAACCACTTCTACTCGCATGGTAACTACTCCTTTGATTTGACCTAACTTTTCGTTGTTTGTTTGATTTGACCTTACTTCTGTTTGTATGCTTATTTTTCTAACGTAAAACCCTTGTGTAATTCTGTATATTATTTTGTTTCCATGTACACCCTTTGAGTACAACTCATTCATCAAACAATTCATGCCATTACGTAACTCTTATTTAACAATCATTTATGACAACTCATCACTTTTGTTACTATCCTCTTATATGAACATCCAATTCACCTGAACTTCTTCTATCTGTTTTATTTCGCCATTTAAGTCTTTTCTTGTGCTACTTAGTGCTATGGCTCGGTTTGTTAGACATTTCACTAAGCCTGCCATAACAGTTAACGGATGAGATGAATAAAAGTCTAAATATCTATTAGCAGGATGCGTTGGTTTTTTATAAACCCTAGTGTGTAGTTTGCCTTCTTCTACTCATTTTATTTCGTAATCTAACATCATGGCTAATTCTCCTTGTTCATTTTCTGATTCCAGTGTGAATTTTATTCCTTCTACTAGTGTCCAGTCTTAGAGGAAATCACTGACGAGCACAAATAGCTTAGTGGTGACATCCTTAACTGCTGCATGATTCCGAAATTCAGAAGGCAGGATGTTATCTCCTTTATGATCTCATATACGCCTTGTTGGCTGACGAGTCCCATTAGGCATGAAACCTAGGTCGAGATAGAGTGACCCCCACCATCTAAAAACAACAATTCAGAGAACATTTTGATGTCAAGGCACTTGGTGCCTTGGTGATTACATTGCCAACTTGGCTGATAGAATCCAGTTTGCACCAGATAAAGGACTAGACACAATACACTAGTTACTAGCTGGCGTTCAATCAAAGTATCGAACATCTGTTAGACCTGAGTCTACTTCATTCTGTGAAAGAGTAGCAAGAGAAAGATGACTGTATCAAGCACACTGAGGGATCATCTCATAAGCTTTATAAGTAGCTCCATTTATCTGTCTTTAAGATTTTATTGTTGGTAAACACAATTTACACAGTTTGATGTGAATTTTCACCATGAGATCCTCTTAGAAACCAAAAATTATTTAAATCACAGTGTATAACTTGTTTGGTACTATAAATGCCCTTTAGGAAAATAGGTATAAGTGCATTATTTTATGTACTACTGATTGTTATACACTGTGTTTCTGAATACCACTCACAGTGGCCAGCAGTAGATGCTAGCCAGATCCAAGTGGCTAGCCAGAATCCAAGAGATTTGAAATACTTTTGATCTCTAAGTTGGGTTAAACCTGCCGCACCTTTGATGAGCTTGGTACAGAACAAGGGAAACTGGTTAATATATGCGTGGAACTTAGGCACTGTGATAGTAAGTAATTCCATATCAGTTGATTTGTTAGATATAGCACACAGTGAAAAAAACAGTATTATATACTGGATGACAAAGTTTTGAATACAATCTAGTATTGTTCATAATCATACTACATCAAATATAACCACACAACTTCAAAACTCTCATTTTATAGTTTCTTTTATTCCCTCCTATTTGTCGTCCTAAGGGTAGTAAGATTTTCCTGATATATGGGACAGGTGTTGAATCATTCCTAATACATGTATTTGCAGTTGATTCGATAAACAAATCTTCTGTTACCAATCTCTCCCTCCACCATGTTAAGTGTATTAGATTTCAAAACTGTTATCTTATCATACCATCCTATAATTTGAATGTGTTTGTAATTGCATGTAGTGAGTGCTATAGCTGAACTATTCTCTAGATTTCTTATCTTATTCGGATCAACTAATCTAGATTTTGCTAAGTTTTTATATTCAGCTAGTCTGACTGACTGCACCCGTTCGACTACTTTGACTTATGTATTCGACCTGACAATCATTCCAGCAGAGTAAAAGATGAACTAAATTGTTTTGTTTTAAAGGCTCCACAGGATCCACCATTTGACCGACAAAGCTTGTTTCTAATTCGGTTTGTGGTTTGAATACCGGCCACTTTTATTCCTGACTTGTTAAGAATTCTCCTTCGTAAGGTTTCCCAGGTTTCTTGCTTGTAAAGAAATACTGCTGATGATTTAAGATTCCATATTGTTGGTGTTGTCTTTCGCATGTTTGACATGCCTATCGTCATTAATATTACTATTGTTATTATTGTCACTATCACCACTATTATTATTTATTTTATTCTTACATTTACTTACATATTTCCTGACTAATTTATCAGGTTAATTATTAAATTTCAAAGCTTCGC